AGAGAGAGAGAGAGAAACAAGAGAGAACTTTTTGTTTGGGCTCGAATGGGCTACAGACCCGTCTTGATTAAAAGTTCAGCCGTTACGAAAGATTTTTCAAGGGACTTGTTTCTTTACCTTTTTAGCTGGTGGGAAGAAAAACAATTTTTCTATTTTGGACCCAAAATACAGAAATTGATTTCTATTGGAAACATATTTCCACACCAATTTTTGGATCCAAACGGCGGAAATGGTCAATCTTCTTGGAAACAAATGGTCTAGTAATGTTTTTCGAAGGATCAAAATGGGCCCTTAATGTTTATGTTTTCTAGGTTTCTTCTTTAATCCAACATTCTCTTATTTGCATCAATCAATTGGCATTGGTGTAATGGAAGGGTTTAGCCAAATGCTGCATTGACAGACTTGACAGCAGTAGAAAAAGGCATATTGAAGCTCTAAAGGAGGTAAGAAACAACTTTTCGTAAAGAAATTTACTTAACTTGGTGCATTTGTAAAGTCTAAACTACTAAACCCGGCTATTTTCCTTGACTCCTTTGTATATGGATGTGCAAGGGTACTTTACAACTAACCTTGCTAGGAAAACTCGCCATGAGGTGTCGAAGTTACTTTTTAAGTCCTTTCGTTGGAGTTATTTCTTGTTGTTTTAATTTACTATCAGTTGGAACATTTCTTATAGGTTATCTCTCATTTTTCTCAACAATATGGTTGAAAATACATTGAAGTACAGCACCCAACCTAAAGAGCATAGCGATCAATGTGCTTGCTCGAACTTGTTCTAGTATGGGATGTTAGTAAAACTGGAGTACATTCAAGTAAATGTATATCTCTAAGATGAACAATTTAGTGTCTACCATGCTTCAGAAGTTGGTCTGCACCCACAATAATTTGAACATCTGAAAGCGGTAGTTGAGGATGGAAGCTAATGACTACAACTAATAAACCTGGATCTTATAAGTATGGAGGATGAAGCTGAGGAATGGTTGGTGGAATTGGAGGAGCTACTTCTTGATAAGAGGGCAATGCAAGAAACCATTGTTATCATAATGAAGGAAGAAGAAGAAGGTGGGAATCAACAAATTGAAGCAAGATCAAGCTGACGGAAGACCACAACTTGAGGAGCCAGTGGGAGATGTACAAATAGATGTACACGGATAAAAGGGAGATGCGGGATGAGCTGGACGAGAAGATGGTTGGGATGCTTCTTCTGATACCACCCAAACAGATGTTAGTGGCAATAGAGGGAAGCCTGAGTCTGAGCTCGAGCAGTAGGGTGGGAGCGACAACAGGTACCCAAGATCCATAACTAATAGTCCTTCCTAAATTGATATGGATATACTGAGGGTGGAGGTGATAACTCGATTTCTAAACTGGCAGACTCGCAGCTCGAACCATTCGATTTCACTCAGCACGATGATGATCATGATAGTCAAATGGCTCCAAGCCACCTCATAGTTCACATTAGCTTTCGATCATATAATTTGACTTATCCTTCTATATTTTATTTACTCCATTTTAGAGTGTGAAATAAACACTCAGTTAGGAACTGAATTATTAGTATCTAGGAGTTCTTGAAATTACATCAAAATAAATGCTATAGTGATGCTTTTTTTCCACGCAGTGTCACTTGGTGTGATAGTAAAAGGCTCAGGTAGCCACCACAAGAGCACGGGTTCAACTCTTGAGAGCGACCACTTTGTGGATAAGCCAAAGGTTAGGACTGTTTCCAGCCCACCCCTCTCGGGACCATGCTTAGGCAGCACCAACACCGGGTTATGGCCTTTTTTAGTGATGCTTTTTTTTCACAAACTGAAATTAACCTACTTTAAAAAACTTTCACATAAGTTTTTAGGTTAACTTCAGCATGATAGCCATGAATCATATGATCTGACAAAGAACTAGCAATCCAACTTACTTTTTTAGGTGATAGAGTTGGATCCCATTCATGTTCTTTAAACACTGGAATATACTATATAAGTTATGGTGACAATATCCATGATGATTCACTTCTTAAATTTGATTGCGAAAACAGAATGGGGGGATCCTAAAATAAAATATTTGTAAAAAGCAACATTAAATAAGAGTACAAGCTTCATCTAAGGGTGCAATGCCCTGGCTCCGTGATTAAAAGAAACAGCACTAGCATCCAAGGTTCAAATTCCAGCTTACCACCCATTAGAAAGCAAAACAAAGCTTCACATAAGAGGTGAACTGAATAATCACGAATTGCATCATTTTTTCAAAAGTTTCATAAACCAAGCAATACTTATTTGCTGGTCAACAACACATTTTAAGCAGACTCACAAACAAAGCACAAACTTTTGGTGCCCATAATTAAAATGTTAATTTAGGAAATGGAACTACACCAACACTAGGCCCTATTGAAGTTTCTGACATTCTAAAGAAACAAGTAACAGAAAATTCTATCAATTAACTCATATAATTAGCCTAAAAAATCACTAATCATTCCAATAATCTCCTCCCAACATATATAAACCAAGACTCAGAGTCCAAAACATGAATGGAACTGCAGATTGTTACGAAAACTAAAAATTAAAAGACCCCATGTTATTGTCTCACAATTAAATCAAGGGTGCGGTTTGTATAGAGCCTAGGCTCTAAACAATCAAATTTGAGCCTTAAAATACTGAAAATGTCGAGAAATGTGGTTTCAATACTGAAAATCTTTGTGATAGCCTTAAAATATTTTTTCATACTTATTTATAAAGTTTAAAGCTTCAAAAATTGTGTAGACCCATAGATCTATAAAAACTTGAAAATCTTGAAAATTGACAGTCCAAAAATGGCTTACAAAATACACTATTTCCAAAACTTGAAACCCTTTTTTTTTCATGTCTATGTATCTTGATGGCGAGATGATCAATTTGAGGATATTTAGGCATCAAAACAATTTCTTCTAGTAAAATTTTTCAGGTAGGCTCAAATTTGATTGTTTAGAGCCTCAACTCTACATAAAATTTCCCCTTAAATCAAAGAAGGCTCGAGAGAAAGTTTGTTAATCCACCAAAAAAGAAAAAAAAAAAAAAAAGGAAAGAAAAAGAAGCAAAGAACGGAGGAAAAGGAAGAGAGTTTAGCACCTGGCCAACTACTGCAGCTAAAGGGAAATAGAGGCGCCCATAAGAAACGGTCTCAAAGTCCTGAGTGGAGAAGGGAGCCCCATTGGAGGCTTCCAGAGTAGCAGCGGCCATGGGACGAAAGACGAAGTTCTTAGTTCTGGTTAGAAGCTTCCTCTTCGAGAGATGAGAATGAGAGAGAAAGTGGATGGTTTTGAAGTTGGGATAGAAGTGGTGGTGATGGGTCGTGAGAGTAAAGAAGCAGGAAGAGAGAGAAGAGGCCGCCATGAGTGAACGTTAGAGAGAGAGGAGTGTCGCCCTTATCTGAAATCTGAAGAGAGAGAGGACGGTCACCTTATCTGAAACTGAATAGCAGTGCGGTAACGGTCGATTATTGCTTTTATTTCATGATATGCTCCGGCGCGAACAAGTTTTCCTTTTACTCAGGGAACCTCACGCCAAAAGTTTATGAGGTTTGCAACCTTAAGATGCACCTCAAAAGTCCAGCGGAAAGAATTGTTTTTAATGTTGAAAAACCTCTAATTGATCTTCTCGAGTTCTAGATCTATGAATATGAGTCTCCATCCATATGTGTAATATCAAAAGATCACTATTAAAGTTTATGTGAATCTTTAAAAAAGTTATCGAAGTAGATCTATAAATATGAGTCCCCATCCATATGTGTACCACCCTAAAAAATCACCATTAACATTTATGTGAATCTTTAAAATAGTTATGGATGTGACTTTCAATTTTTTATAGATCCGTGCCAAATTTAATGATAATCTTTTAAAATCCTCCACACATGGGTGGAGAAATATCCTGTAGGATCATTTTTCATATATATATATATATATATATAAATTGAATCTCATAAAAAGTGCATCTTGCAAATATATATCATGGAGTCCATTTTCTAAGATTTTCATATATTTATTTAGGAAAAAGTCTATATAGAGCCGAGGCTCTAAACGATCAAATTTGAGCCTATCTCAAAATTTTTACTAGAAGTGGCTGTTTTGTTACCCGCATATCCCCAAATCGATCATCTCGACATCAAGATGAATGGACATGAAAAAAGTGGATTTCAAGTTTTGTAAATAGTATATTTTGTAACGTACTTTTAGACCATCAATTTGAAGTTTTTATAGATTTTTCAAGTTTTTATCGATCTGCTCGACCTACGTTATTTTTGAAGTTTTAAATTTTATATTTAAAGATGAAAATATATTTTAAGACTATTACAAAAATTTTCAATGTTGAAACCATATTTCTCGATACTATTTGAAGGTGGGCTCTAATTTGATTGTTTAGAGCCCACCTTCAAATAGTGTCGAGAAATATGGTTTCAACATTGAAAATTATTTGTGATAGTCTTAAAATATATTTTCATCTTCAATTATAAAATTTAAGGCTTCAAAAATAGTGTAGGTCGAGCAGATCTATAAAAACTTGAAATTTTATAGTCCAAAAATGCATTATAAGATGCACTATTTTTACAACTTGAAATCCAATTTTTTCTCATGTCCAAACATCTTGATGTCGGGATGATCAATTTGATGATATTTGGGAATCAAAACAAGCTCTTCCAATGAAATTTTTGAAGTGGGATCTAATTTGATTGATTAAAGCCTCAGCTCTATATAAACTTTTCCCTTTATTTATAGATCTACTTGATTTTAACCATTTTTGGAGTTTAAAATTTTATAATTAGATATCAAAATAGATTTTTAGATAATCCTAAGAATTTTTTAAACCAAAATGATATTTTATGATAAAATTTGGAAGTACGTATTGGATTGTTTAAAATTGTAACGTTATAAAACTACACCCATTACATATCCTACTTCACCAAACCTTGCCGATGTTAAAAAATAAAAGCAAAAAAGTTGAATCTTTTTTGAAACAAAATACCCCAATGTGCTGGACTAGCACAATCTCAATATAAGCTAATTCGACACAATTTTTTCGGACTAACAAAATTTGACTTTCAAAGGCCGATTCATCACAATTTGTGTCGGATCAATGAAAATAAAAAGCTAGTCCAACACAATTTTGGGCCTACCCGCCACATGTTGCTCATGCAACAAGGGTTAAACTTGAGGAGATTTTCATCCTAAAAGAATCTACTTTATGACTTAGACGGTGATTGCAAAAAATAAAAAGGTTTAGAGATTAGGAGTATAATTTACAAAGTACTGGGCGTGTACTGGGTGGGGTGTTATCTCTACAAGTAAGATCAAGGGAGGTTACTGCAATTTACCCTCATTTCAAAACTTTAAAGCATGTCTAACGCTTATTGTTCTTATATAAACTGTAGCATGCGAAGTGGGGTCAACCAGGTGGACAAGCAAAAACTCCAGCTGCAGATTTTACAGAAGAAAGAAATTTTAGGGTTGTTTGTCCATAGTGTTCATTTGGACCTTCAACTAAATTGTTGACTTATGGATTGGGGGGAAGGGCTCAAAGGGCCTTAAAAATGGTCCCAAAAGACATTTAACAAATAGCTCTAAAACTGCTTTTTTGGTGGTCTAAAGTCTAGGCCAATTCTTATAGATCTAAATTAATAGACACATGAGAATTATATATGGCCAATAACTTCAGACAGCAGGAACTAGGTTTGCTACCCTGATGGACCAGCACGGAGGATTCTTTGATTTGATGGAAAAAAGATTTCGTTGATGCTCCATATTATTCATTAGAATTCCACCTAAATCTATCAACATTCAGGGGGTGGACGGCTAAAGAAGCTTGAAAACGATTCTAATCCACTACAAAGTCAATCTCCATAAATATTTTAGGAAATATATCATTAAAATGGTCCAACAATTTCAAGAAATCAATATAGGTGGTTAAGTCAACAATTTTACCTCTTTGTTTTGTTTTCATTCATCTAGGTACCACCTCAAAAATTTGCTTATAAGTGCGTAAATTGCCCATTGGGTTTGGGTCCATCATGGACTTATGTGGTCGGGTTGGCTTCGGGTCAAGGCCCATTCGGTCTGATATTTATATAAAATATTTATGTATGTATACAACATTATTTATAAGATATTTTTTAATTATTTTTGCTTATCTAGACTTGGCCCCAACACAACCTGGACAGGGTTTGAGTCCATTCTAGGTCTAGTTATGACCCAATTGGGTCAAGTCAGGGTTGCAGACAAACCAACCTAACCGACCCATTAATGCCCCTAATAGTATATAGGTCAGGCTACGCCGTGTCATTAACCCCTAGCCCAGTTGGGCCACCAGGCTTGGAGTTAGGACTTAGCCCTCATGCCCAAATTAAGGGGCCGGCCTACGTTGTATAGGGCTAGATTGTCGGGCCAGGCTAAGCCATATGGTCCATTGCCACCCCGTACGTCCTTGCATGCATGCTCACGTTAAGCTTTCTCTATCATCTGTTTAAAGGACTCTAGGTGAATTTAGTGCAAGGCGACAAAATTTAGAATTAATTGTCGAATAGTGATCAAACATTCAAGGCAAAAGTTTATATGGAGCTGATGCTCTAAACAATCAAATTAAAGTGTGCACATAAAATTTTATTAGAAGAGATTGTTTTGATACCCAAATCTCCTCAAATTGATCATCTCAACATCAAGATGCAGAGATATATGGAAAAAAAAAAGATTTCAAGTTTTAGAAATAATGCATCTTGTAGTGCATTTTTTTACCGTCAATTTTCAAGAGTTTCAAGTTTTCATAGATCTGCTAGATCTACAATGTTTTTGAAGCTTTAAATTTTATAACTAGAGATGAAAATATGTTTTAAGGTTATCACAAAGATTTTCAATATTGAAACCATATTTCTCGATACTATTTGAAAGTAGGTTCTAATTTGAATGTTTGGAGCCTCGGCTCTATACCAACCGCAACCATTATTTAATGACCAAAGAGATCTATTAGACAATGTTAGATGGTAAAAAAGGCAAAAATTGTTTTCCTATTTGTTACAAACTTTTAAAACCACCCATAGAAGTTTTTTATTTTTGTGTTAAAAAAATACTGATACTGATTTTTGTTTGGTTAAGAACTCTATGATAAAAATAGTTGGAACACTACTCTTTGGGTAAAAAGAAAGAAAAAAAATTTCTCCAAAAATATATTTTTTTATATTGTAAAAATCCTTAAAGAAATAAGCTAATGTGCCGTGGAAAATTGAAATCATTTAAAATTCATAAGTTAAAAATATGAAATATTTTAAAACTAATTTTTTATTGTAAAACTTACGATTTGAAAGGAAAGTTTAAAAATATGGGAAAGTAAAAGTAGTATTGAAATAGAAAATATGAAAAATAAGAAACTTAGCCATGAAACTATTTTTGTATAGAAATAAAAAATTAGCGATAAACTATTTTTTAAGCATAAAAGTATGCACTTCAAATTTTTAATTTTCAAAAAAAATGAAAGAAATAATAAATATGGTATCGTGTTTTTTTTTTTTTTTTTCTTATTTTATACATTTGTATTCATATAACATAACTTTTTTTCCTCATTGAAGCTATGGCTCTTAATAGAGCAGAATGACGGACTAAAATTTGTGTAGCTGACTTCAATTAATTGAAAAGATGTTAGGATGATGATGATAATTATAACTTTTTTTTACTATATATTTAAGTGGTAATAAAACATAAAAAAGTAAAATATTTGAAAGCCTAAATATTTTAAATTCAAAAATTTAAATATTAGAAACTAGTTTTGTAATTTTAAATATTTATTAATTTTTATAAAATAACCAAAAAGAAATAACAGAATCGAATAAACAAGTTAAACACACTCATAAAAATTTCATGAAAATTTTGAAATTCATAATTAATAACTTATAACAAAATAAAAAACAAAAAAAAAGAGTTACCAAATCACACTCATTTCCGATAGGGCTGGGAATTGGCCAAGTTGGGTCCGGACCTAAACCTGACTCGAAAATACATACATGGAACACAGACCCAGACCCAGACCTGGACTCGAACCCAGACCCAAAATTTATTTTGACGACCTAAACCTTGACCTGATGGGTTAAACATAGAAATTGTTGAAAACAATAAAAAACGATTAAAAAAAATCTCCTAAAATATAAAAAGCATATAAAGAGAGATTAAAACAAAACACATTCAAATGAAATCGAAAATTGATAAAACAAAATGGATTTTGAAGAATTGATTTGTGCCTAGGGGTATTTTTAAATTTTGTATAAAAGATAGGAAAATATAAAAGTGAGTATTAATGACCAAAACAAATTTTAATCTTTACCATAATGTAAAGAATATTAAAAATTGTATTACAAACCAAATTTTTTATTTTTTTTGATGTTATATAT